TATATATATATATATATATATATATATATATATATATATATTGTATATCAGAGTCAGAGATTCTTTATTGTTGTTTGCACCACATGTGGTGGAGCGAAATTATGTACACAGGGTCCCAGTTACATCCAACAATAAAATGTAAAAGAAAAATAATGATAACATCTAAGACATGAACTAAGAAAAACATCAACTAAAATACACTAAACACCAATAGCATAAAAACATTAAGTTGAGCAGCAGCACGAACATGAGCATGAGTCTGTGTGAGCAGATGAACACGCATGAACACAGCAACATGAATCAGATCAGCAGCAACATTGAAACAGATCAGCAGCAACATGATGTGATTTTTTTTCACAGTGATTATTCTGGTTAGAGATTCATGAATCTAACAGCCTCAGGGTAGAAGCTGTTCCTCAGTCTAGTGGTTCTACACTAATGCTTCTTAACCTCCTTCCTTAAGGGAGCGGGGCAAAAATTGTGTGTGCTGGGTGAGTGGGGTCCTTCATGATGCAGGTGGCCCTCTTCCTGCATCAGGAGGTGTAAATGTCTGATGGTGGGGAGACTGACTCCAACAGACTTCTGTGCAGCCTTCACCACTCTCTGCAAAGCGTTTCTTTCTGCAGCTGTGCAGCCTCCATGCCACACATTGATGCTGGAGCACAGGATGCTCTCCACTGCACACCTGTAGAAGGAGATGAGGACTGAGCTTCCCAGACCAGCTCGCCTCAGCCGCCTGAGGAAGTAGAGTCTCTAATGAGCTTTCTTGATCAGGCTGGTGGTGTTGTTGCTCCAGATGAGGTTGTCATTCATGTGGACACCCAAGTACTTGTAGCTGTAGACCACTTCCACCGCAGATTCAATTCAATTCAATTCAGTTTTTTTATATAGCGCCAAATCACAACAAAGTTGTCTCAGGGCACTTTACAGGAACATTCACAAACATAAAAGTCAATTAGTAAAGTTCTCTATCTAAGGAATCCAGCAGACAAGTTGAATCTTGGCTTCGTTGCAGTCTCCCATCCTGAGCAAGCACAGTGGCAACAGTGGAAAGTAAAAACTCCCTTTTAAAAGGAAGAAACCTCCAGCAGAACCAGGCTCAGGACAAGCGGCCATCTGCTTAGACCGGCTGGTTTGAGAGGACAGGAAGGAGAGACAGACAAACACAGAATGGTAGGTCCAGATATAGGTACATGGTATATCTGAAAGACAAAAAAAAAAACACATGTTAAGGATTGAAAAAAATATTACAAATACAGATCCTCTTATGATCGGGGGTGTAGGTGTTTTTGTTCCTTCTGAAGTCCACAATCATCTCCTTTGTCTTCTTCACATTGATGTGAAGGTTATTCTCTCTGCACCAGCTCTCCAGGTGTTCCACCTCTTGCCTGTAGCTGGACTCATCATTGTTTGTGATGCATCCCACCACCATTGTATCATCTGCATATATATATATATATATATATATATATATATATATATATATATATACACACACACACACAAACCAGATTCCAAAAAAGTTGGGACACTAAACAAATTGTGAATAAAAACTGAATGCAATGATGTGGAGGTGCCAACATCTAATATTTTATTCAGAATAGAACACAAATCACAGATCAAAAGTTTAAACTGAGAGAATGTATCATTTTAAAGGAAAAATCTGTTGTTTCCAAATTTCATGGCGTCAACAAATCCCAAAAAAGTTGAGACAAGTCCATATCGCTCAGCCCTACTCACACACATGCGCAGCCTGGTATGGTATGGTATGGTATGGTATGGTATGGTATGGTATGAAGTTTATTCATTTTAAAAAAGTACAAAACAATTCCATAACAATATATAAAAAGATACAAAAAAATTTAAAATGAAAGGCAGCAGAAAGAAGAAAAAATCTTATTATATCTGCCCCTTTTTTCAAACAATTATTTCAGACATATTAATTTTCAAGTAACAGAACAAAATGAATAACTTTCTAATTTTTCTAATTCTAATACAAAACACACACTAAGCTACTTCATATATACTTTTTTAACAATCTAGATTTGATCTTTTTCTTAAATGTACACATTGACTTGACATTTTTACATCACTCTCTAGACCATTCCACAATCCAACTCCTTGGATTGAGGTAGACCTTCCCTTCAGGCTAGTTCTGAATTTTGGTTTGACAAATATCTCTATCCCCTTAAGATTGTAACAACTTTGTCTTTTAACAAAATTTCTTTGGATATTTAATGGTAATGTGTTATTTTGAGCCCTATACATAACTGATAAAATACTATAATCTACCAAATCATGGAACTTCAATAACTTCAGTTGATGAAATAATGTGCTTGATGGGTGACTGTAATGCTTTCTGGTGATGATTCTTACAGCTCTTTTCTGTAAAATAAAAATAGGTTTTGTAAATGTTTTACACGCTTTCCCCCAAACATCAATGCAATAGATTAAATGTGGAACAATGATTGTGTTATACAACATGTACAGAGCTTTATCATTTAATAATTCCCTGACTTTGTATAGTACTGCAATAGATTTAGATATTTTTGTTCTTACAGAATTTATGTGATTTTTCCATGTTAGCTGTTCATCAATGATTACACCCAAAAATTTCATCTCATTAACTCTACAAATCTCAACACCCTCAATTTTAAATGGATCGTCAACAGTTCTCTTTTTGTTACTAAATATCATGTATTTAGTTTTATCTAAATTTAATGATAATTTATTAATTTTAAACCAAGTTTGTATTTTATCAAATTCTGTCTTCATCAGTTCCAACATCCGTTTTACATCTTTACCCAAACAAAAAAATGTGGTGTCATCTGCAAAAAGGACACATTTGAGGAGTCCTGATACATTCACTAAGTCATTCACATATAAAATAAATAACTTTGGTCCAAGTACAGAGCCTTGAGGAACTCCACAAGTGATATTGCACAAGTCAGATCTTACACCATTTATTTGTACAAACTGTTTCCTATCTTTTAAATAGCTAGATACCCAGTGCCTCAGAGAAGCATGGAAATTCTCATTTGAGTAAATGCAAGTGGATAAAATGTGAAGCATGTACATCTTCATCGCAATCACACAAACATGATATGAGTTTACCATTAATCATGTGTGCCCATACAATGTACTGTTTGATCTCAGAAGTAAAAGGATGAGAAAACCACAAATTGTGCACTTAAACAAATAGAAATAGCAACATTTTACATCTCATACTTGCCTACTCAGCAGCCAACAACTATATGATCATCACTATGCAGACCATCTGCAGCATTAATGTTAGCTTTTATATAGTCTCTCAATTTGTTTTTGTTTAAATTTTATGTTTTCTTGTGTTTTATGGAAAAAGTCCCGCTCTGCTTCAAATTTACGTGTCAGAAGCTCACAGGAGCCTGAAGCCTTACTCTGTGGTCTCTTGTTTATCAGAGCTCTGATTGACCCATCAGCTGAATTCCCTTGACAAGTATTTGCCGACGTGTTGTAGTGTGCAGGAACAGACGTATTGGAGATTCCATGTTGAAGTATGCAGTGCCCACTTCAGCTATTGTTTAAACATTTAATCATTAGACACTGCAAATCACGATGCGCACAGCCAAAATACAATACCTAGATATCTCTGTTGCAATAACAAACACAAATCCTGTTAATGTAATTGTCCAGAATTAGATAATTTGGTTCAAAAGTGTATTGGTCATGCTCAGAAAGGACTAAACTGCAAAACAACAACAAAACTTGCACAGTCATTTAGCTGGTGCTTTTCTTTTTAATACCTGACGTGAATGATGAAAAGCTGTGTCAAATTATTCTAAATTATTCAGTAGACTCTTCACTTTAGCTGTTTGTGAGTTTGAACATTGTTTCAGTGACTGTTTTGCACCTCCTTCCATCGCCGGTTTTGATTTCACTGAAAGGAAGCAACAAAAAAAAGAAATGAGTGAAGCTTAGTGAAGGACAATGATTGTTTGTTTATGAGAATGTCCTTGTTATTTGTTTTTGTCCTTGTTTGTTGTTTATTTTATTTTATTTTTTATTTTTATTTTTTCTTCTCACAAGGCCAAGTTAAAAACATAATCGGAGTTTTGTGTGATCAAACATAACCTCAATATAGCTTTAGGGACTTAAAAATGGGTTTTCCATTTAATTCATACGTATGGCCAGTTTCTCACACTTGCACATTAGTTTAGTTAACTCTAAAAGTAGTTTGGGAACTTGAGATAAATTCACTTTCAGCAAAGTTTTTATAGCAAATTGTACATATATATATGTATGTATGTATATATATATATATATATATATATGTATGTAGATTTTATTACAAAAAAGCCTAAAGTTTTGTTGATGTAAGTTATTTGCAAATACTTACAAATGAAGAAGTAATTTTACATATTTACTCTTTTTTTATTTGTGTGCTGTGTCAGTCATTTGTGTTTTTCTTCTTTCCGATTCAGTGATGGAGCCTACCGTTGTGAGTACATCCACTCTGCCCTCCGATGAGTTTGATAGGAATGTGCCACGGATCTGCGGCGTGTGTGGCGACAAAGCCACTGGCTTCCACTTCAACGCTATGACCTGTGAAGGATGCAAGGGCTTTTTCAGGTATGCATTTAGTCTGCATCAGTCTGAGGAGCGGTACAGTGCCATATATTTTTTAAATACGCTAAAGTATGCTTTGTTTAAACTGTAAATGCACTTTGCATAGACTGAACATGGGCTCTGCTGCACAATGCTTAAGGCAGTGACATGTGGCTTACAAACACCTAAATGGCACATGGCTGTCCACATAGTTGCACAAATATGCTGCTCATCATGAGTTTCTGATTTAATTAAAGACAAATGTAACCAAATAGTTTTTGGTGTGTAACTTTTTCCTCCCTGAGTGTGTTTGTTTCACATACTCGTTCATTTACATCTGTTCCTCTCAGCTGTGTTGATTTTCAAAGGTAAAGCAGAAAAAAATATGGATGTTTATTAATCTCCTTCCTCGTCTCTCAGCTGGCCCTCGTTTGAACTCTCACAAAGCATGCTCGCCTGTGTTTTTTTGGTTCACGTACGTGGATAAATGTTTGTGCGTTCCTGTGCCTAACCATTACGGTTTGCGTCACTCTGACGAGACCCGTCTTTTACGCCTGGTTTCTTTGGCACGTATCCACATTATTTTCCTGGAAACTTGTCAGGCTTAAAGGTGAAAAGTATCGAATTCTGCCTTGTTTATTATTTGTGAGAAACAATTTTAAGTTTCTCACTGCCTTGTATTAAAGTCTGGTTACAAACAATTCTAAGCACAAACACTGACGTTCATACAGAGGCACAAGACCTTTAAATTTAAACTCTTAAACCAATAAATTGGTCTTTTTGTGTTCTGAAATCTGCATGTTTTAATATATTTTCTAATGTTTGCCGGTTGTTTAGGCGCAGCATGAAGCGTAAGGCCTCCTTCACATGTCCCTTTAATGGCAGTTGCACCATCACCAAGGACAACAGGCGCCACTGCCAGGCATGCAGGCTCAAACGCTGTGTGGACATTGGCATGATGAAAGAGTGTAAGTAAAACAGCTGACATATACGTCTTCACTTACAAAGCCCACAGCCTATAATTTTTTTCTTGAACATGGTGTAAAAGGTTGTTTACCTAAGGGACTTAAATGAATCACCATGTAGAACGGCACTTTCATTGCTTAGTAGTATTTTTTTTTTACATAATTAGACCTCATTAGATTATTGATGGATCTGAAAATAGATTCTATGATGAATTATTATTATTAAATGAGCTGCTAATATTCAAGACTGATACAAAAGTTGCCTCTGATACACGTCCAGTGTGTTTTCATCACGATAGAGCTGAATTTTACAGATGAGACAAACAAATTAAAACAAATACCTTTTCTAATTGTACTACTGGTGTTTGCTGTTTTTGAGGACCCTCTGTCCCTCCTGAAAATTATTATGTAATATTTGGCCTGAGGTTAAGTATCTCTGGGTCTTTGCCCTTTTAGAGTGTTTACATGTTCTGTTTAAACAAGTGGAGCCTCCCTGTATTGTGTAAAGTATACCACATCTCAAGTTTAAACACCTAATGTGCAATCTGGCTTGGCCTCTTCTTTCTACAGTTTCATGTTTGTTTTCATAGTCTGCAAATAGCAGGCACATCTTTTCTTGTTTTTTGCTAATATCCACATATTGTCCACAGGCCTCTTTTATGCAAAAGGTCTCACCCTGCCAACTTGTTTGTCTCCCAGTGTCTCTGGGAGTGTTGGCAACAGCACTATAGTTTACTGTACGTAAACAGGGGCCATTGATGTCGCTGTTACTGTTGCAAAAACAGCAGCATGTTGTCGAGACCCAGCTCTCTCTCTCTGTTTCTGTGAGCTAATTCAGCGGCTAGAACAACAAGGAGCAAACAGAACAAAGACAATGTGTTCAGTTGTTCAGTGCAGCAGGGGTCTCCATATGGACCCATCCCCTCCCATTCTCTTCCTCCAGAGAATAACAACCTCCTTTCACCCAGCACAACATAGACATGGCTGTCATCGTAGTGTTTAGGTACATAGTGTACCTTAGAACAGCTTTCATTGTTGATCTTGTTTATAATTTATGATCCAATGACTTCCCTGACCCACTTTTTAATCTGTTATGTTTATGGGGTTTTTTTTTACACAAAAGGTGTCTCAATATCACTTTTCCTGCAAGTCAAATATTCCTTTATACGTAGAATACTAAAGCTCCCTCTCTTTGTCCTGCCCCTCCAGTCATTTTGACAGATGAGGAAGTGCAGAGAAAGAAGGACCTGATTCAGCGGAGGAAGGAGGAGGAGGCGCAACGTGAAGCAGAAAAGGAAGCACGCCGACCCAGACTCTCTGACGAACAGAGCCAAGTCATTGCCACACTGGTGGAAGCACACCACAAAACATATGACGACTCCTACTCTGATTTTTGCCGTTTCAGGGTTTGTATCTTATGATCTTGTGATCAAACTAATAGTGTCGTAGTGTTTTTTTGTTTTTTTTTAACCATGCGGTGGTGGTGTGTCACGTTTCAACTGGCAAAGCACCATCTCTGAACTGGCTTTTCCACAGTAAACCATATCAGAGCCACATCACAGTTTTACTTTTAACAACTCTTTTCCTTCAAACCTTCTTGTGTATTTAAAGTTTTCGTAGACAGTTGGGACAGCTTTTCTACTCTGGTCTGTGTTTGCTTTATTTATTTATTTTGCAAACCGATGGTATAATACCAGCAGGCTTGTTTAAAAAGACTGTTTACAGCAGGTTGTGTTTGTGTATTTAGTTTTTTACTGCAACTGGGAGTTCTGTGTTTCTGAAAACCTCAGCGAACATGTTTTTAGAGGGATTAAGAAATGTCAGCTGGTGATATCAAAACACCTGACAGTGGTAATGAATGCCGTTGCAAACACTTTTTAAACCTTACATTAGAAGGCCTGAAATAAGAATGCAGTTTTGTGCAGTTTGCTGGGTAACCTTCACAAACACGGACTATATGGCAGGAGAATAAGAGGAATAATGAGCTGACGGGGTTTGCATACGCTGCTCCTTCAACTTCACCTACTCATTCGTGATTTTTTTTTTTTTAACGTGGCTCCTACCTTATTACATGGTTCGAGTCGGTACCCATAAACCCACGCCTGGCCACTAAAATAACTGGTACTTTGATCTGAAAAGAGCTGGTGTTACTCTAGCACCCGTTTCTATTGCTTTGGCAGCTTAAACAGAAAATAAACTGATTTTATGTTTGGCACCAGTCCAGCACGGCTGTGAATGACATTGATTTCTTTTGTTTAGGATTTTCATTTTGTTCACATTTTAACAATGAACCCTTTGTATTCTGCATCTGGTTAGCTTTAGATTCTGAGCTCTAGTACTTTTTTCTTCTGCAGCCTCCTGTGCGTGAAGGCCCGGTGACCCGAAGTGCCAGCAGAGCTGCCTCTCTCCACTCCTTCTCTGATGCCTCCTCCGACTCTTTCAGTCACTCTCCAGGTGATAATGATTAGACTACACTCGAGATTAAATCAAAAAGTAGCACACTATTTGAGCTACTGTTCCCTTTATTTGGAGTAATTTGGAAAAAAGATCAAATTATACAATACTAATAAAAAGATTTAGAAAGTATTTATTTAGCTAACAGATGTTTTGTATTCCAACTTACTTCTTTACATGTGAGCTTTTGTAATCTATATGTATAATGATGCATGCATTTATACTGAACCAGCACAATACTGATGTCTGGTGTGCAATCTGATGAAGACTATGTTAGTCACAGGCCATCGCCGCTCTTCTTCTAGTAGAGGCCACACTTTTTTGTTGCTCTCTTTTCTAAACACCATGACAGAATAAAAGAAGGAAGAGACCTTTCAGATGAGGAGTTTTAGGCCCATGGCCTGTAGGACACTGCCTAGTTTAAACTGGACGAATAAGCACTTCAGTACTCTTTCAGGGATGAAGATGTTCACATCCTGGACAGAGAGGAACGATGGTTTGAGAGAGGAGTAAAGGAGGCCATCTTTGTGAAAAGAAATCGTCCATCGTTAAACAGGGGTGGAGGCCTCCGGGTTCAACTGTCCCCCTCTTACAATGCTGTGATTGCTAGGATCACTCAGCCCTCTGTGAGTAGTAAACAGCCATCAGTGTGCTAATGATCCATTGTTAGGCTGATGGTCCTTCTTGACCATGTGATCAGCTGGTTTTGATTGTCAGCAGCAAACTGGTTGATCCACTCTGAGAAGGTGCTATTTAAGAGACTGAGCTGAATACAGCTCCTCAGACTGAGGAAGTCTCTTGGATGAGAGACGAAACGTTTCTACATTTTTTTGTTGTTTTGCTTTGTTTTGTTTTTTGAATGTCCAGAGGGCCAGATTTAACTTTTTTAGATTTTTCTACCTGGATTATTGAGCATGCATCAAGACACTTCAGTAAGTTTTTTTTTGTAATTTTTTATAGGTTATCCGTTGACAAAACCTGCTTTGTTGTACAACTTGCTAACGCCTTCCTAATTTTAGGTTGTTTATCGGTCTTAGTTTTGGAAACGTTTTTTTTTTTGTATATATAAGTGAAAGAAACAAACAAAAAGTAGCATTTGTCTCTTTTCCTGTTGTACCAATTGTCGCTCTGAAACCTGGATACACACTGAACCATGATTTATTTGTGCAATTACAGTAGTCCCTTGTTTATTGCGGGGGGTTCTGTTCTCAGTCCCCCTGCGATAAGTGAAAAACTGCGAAATAGTAGTACAAGTAGTAAGTAGTAGTTTATTTTAAACCCTTCCCACACTCTTGCAATATTCTAAACAATGTTTCTAAACTTTAAATGCTCTAAAAGGGCACATAATGTCATGATCCTCATTCTCTCTTCCACCTGCCAGTGCTCGGCCACGTCTCTGCTGCAGGAGGGAGCTTCTCCTGCACATGTGGGCTGCACACAGGTGCTAAATATTTTTGAATAATTTATTATCAATTTTAAAAAATCCATGCCGATCTTGCGGCTCATCCATCAATCAGCCAATTGTGTGTCATGTCCAATCTTACTTTGAAAAACCACGAAAGAGCGAGTCCATGAAAGTCGAACCACGAAGTAGCGAGGAACTACTGTACACCCAAATAAATTTCTTAGAATGTCCCAGTTCATCTTTTTTTTTTTCTGCCTTGGTTCCAGATGTAATAAATATATACTAATTGATAATATTTATCTGTCTGTATAAGTTGTATGTATTATCAGATGAATACCAGTTTCTCCTTCTTCTCTAATCTGTGTTGCTCCTTGTCACTGTAGAGTCTGTTGACACCAAAATGAACTTCTACAACCTGATGATGTATCAGGAGCATGGCAACAGCCCTGACTCCAGTGAGGAGGAAGGCTCAGGCTTCTCGATGCTTCCTCACCTGGCTGACCTGGTCTCTTACAGTATACAGAAGGTCATTGGCTTTGCCAAGATGATTCCTGGTTTCAGGTACGTGTGTTCTTGTGGAGAGGATTGTTCTGTGTAACAGTTTTTTTCGTTAACACCTACAGTAGATTTATGCAACAGTGGACTATTTGAGTTGTTGTATTCTTGTTACTTTAATTTTATTTATTTTTAGGACAGTCAGGGACAACCTCAGTCTTGCCTCACTGACTTTATAGAACAACCTCTCATGTATATTTGTTCATCTCAGTGTGACTTCTGACCTAAATGTATTTGGGAGACTTTGTACACCTATAACTTGTTTTTTTCTCCACAGATGAATTGATCATGGTTGTACATGTAGTCGTGGTCTAAAGATCACAGATTACTGATGTGCACAGGTGGCTGACTTGCTTTAGTGTCTTACATAATGTATTGCTCCTAAAGGGAAGTAGGTTGCTTATTTACAGTAATCGTTTTGTTAGTGTGAAGTTCATCAGTTCAAGTTTATGAGGTGGTTGTTACCTGATTTGAGACAAAGACCATCTTCTTGCTGGCACACTCATAATCTCACACCCACAGGTTATTAATCTGACGATCACAGATTTTAAAATAGTTTATTTTACCTTAAAAAATGTGTGTTTAAAACTTCTGACTGTACAAGAGAGGTTATTAAACCACAGTGACAAGTTAAAGATGTGTTATTGTTGTTATTTTTGATCATTACTGTAAAAGTAAAAGTGCAATGGTTGTTAAGTTGTTGTTTCTGTCCTACCTTTCACACATAGAAAACATTCCTTGCTTGAGTGTGTGTTTGTCAGTGTGTTGACAGGAACAAATGTGCTGTGTGTTGTGAGGTCAATCCAAAGTCAAGGCAGAAACGAGGTTGAGCCTGTATTTTTCTAAAGGTTTCATAATGACTGACAGTGGCTGATGAACATGATGGATTACCGTTGGAATGTTTGCCCACTTTCAATCTGCTTTCTAATCCCTGAAAAATACCTGAGACCTCTCCTTGACATCTGCAGGCTTCAGCTCACGACTCCTGCCAGTTTAACTCCATTTGAAGTCGTTTTACGAAAGAAAAATAGCAAGTTGGAGGGTTTTAACTGAGGCAGTGCAGACGGATGGAACATCACGTTAAGTGTTTGTCCTCCACATATTAAAACGTTTCATTGCAGGAGGCTGCAGACAGGATGTTTACCTAGTTTATGTTTTATTAAAGGTCAAAGACTGACAGGCCTAGAAACTGAAATAAAGTTTACGCAAAGTAACTATTACCTAGTTTGACAAGACTAAAATTCTATTGTTCATGCTGGTTGTTTAATACGTTACTGTGAACGATGTAGTAAAGTTGATTTGGTCGCTTGCAGGGAGCTGACTGCTGAAGACCAAATTGCTCTGCTCAAGTCCAGTGCCATCGAGGTGATCATGCTGCGCTCAAATCAGAGCTTCAACCTGGAGGACATGTCCTGGAGCTGTGGAGGGCCCGACTTTAAATACCAGATCAGTGACGTCACTAAAGGTCAGTGTGGATCGTCTGCGTTTACAGTTTGACAGCTCTGGAGAGGAGCCGATGGTCGGGATCATTTTTATAATGCTGTGAGATATTGAGGGAAGAAAAGATGAAAGTGTCACTAAAACAAATGTTCAGTGTTCAGGAAGTAGGGAGCCAGCCTGCTGCCACAGGTGTTCATGTTACGAGTTTCAAACTGCAGTTAAAGTCACTGATGGCAGCCCGTGTGCAGCTAATAAAAGTGTTTCAGCACAACCAGTCTGACACTTCTGTAGAGCCCCTGTAGGCATGGCTTTCATTTACCTTTCAAACAAGACTTCTTTTTTTTTAGGGGGGATCAAGCAAAGAATGTTACTTGTGACCTTCTCACCACGCAAAACAGCAACCGTGTGAATCTTGAGGAGAAACATTATTTTGACACAAACGAGGCTGGAGTAGATAACGTTTCATACAATAATCAAAATAAAGTCAATAAAAAATCATCAGGTCAGTTGTATTTGTTAAAAATCAATGTATAATTGAAAATGTATATTTTAAATTAACAAGGCCATTGCACAAATAAACTTCAATGTAAAAATGATAGAAATGAGTTCTGTGCTTTAGGAGCTGGTGATGAAGCTTAAACTGTAAAGTGATCCAGTCTTAATTCAAGCTTGCTTGCTCAAACCAGAAACACCAAAGCATACCATTAAAATATATATATTTTATTTATTTACAAAATTATTTAAACTTTTTTTTTTATAGTTCGTTATGCTCTATCATCAATAAGTTTCCAATTTATTCCAAATTGTGATCTAATCAAACGTTACCTAAATCAACCATTTAAAACCCATGCAAAGACAACTGTCACCAATCTGTTTCTCTTCTAAGGTGACTTTGTGGGTAACATGGCTGTGAAGTTGTGTTTGTGTGCGTGCGTGTGTGTGTGTGTGTGTGTGTGTGTGTGTGCGCGCGCGCACGACTAGACTCAATAAATTACACCCAGCTGCAGCTAAGAAATGCTTGTTGACAATGATTCAATCAGTCCCAATCAGCATGAAAAAATCTGTATGGATCCAGATTTGAGGACAGCTGACGTGAAAAGATTACATTACTTCAGATTACTCGGACAATACAGTTAATTTCATGGACGTTGCCCTCTTGTTTTTTTGCTCAGTGTAGCCTGCTACATATTACTGACCTATTTTGAGCTCAGCTTGTGAGATATAATAACCTTGCTCTACTCCGATGGTTATAAAGCCACCGATGTAACGAGCATAAAGTGGCTTTATGTCCCAGTCAGTTTCGTCTGTTACCAGTCAGAGGTATTTTGATTGAATACATCTCCAACAGTTGTAAAATATAGTCTTGACACCGCAGCAGCTCTGCAGTGCAGTGGTGCATCTTAATCATCTGAAATAAATGATCAAAGTAAGCATATGGTAACGTTCTGTTCCATAACACTGATTGGTACATGTTGTCCCTTGTGTGGATCGTCTTCCATTTATCCGTCAATTTACAATATTATTATTAGTGCAAAGAAAATGCATGCATTCTGTCAGTCGTCTAGAAATTGCTCTTGCACTGCACATCTGTGTTCTTATGCTCATTCATCGTGTGCTGCATTAAGCCCAGCCGCTGTGGCTAATGTACGATAACAGAGATTCGGGAGGTGAGGTGTCCTTAGTGACCATGATCAATCAAAAATGCTTTGAAGTAGAGCACAATCCAATAGTTAAGATCCAATACTTAAGGTTGGATTGGGACATTCCTAATGCATTCACTTGTGATAACATCAATGTTTTTTTTAACTGCTGTGAGATTATGCTAACATGCATTCATGTTAACTTTAACGACAAAGATTAAAAAAAATTCTGTCTAGATGAGTCAAAAAGACTTAATCACACAAAAATGTGCTGATTTTTCACAGCGGGCCACACTCTTGAGCTGCTGGAACCACTGGTGAAGTTCCAGGTGGGCCTGAAGAAGCTCAGCCTGCACGAGGAGGAACATGTACTGCTGATGGCCATCTGTCTGCTCTCCCCAGGTACTGTACCTGTGTGGAAGAAGGAAAAGGTTGAAGGCTATCATGAATTGCACTCTTCTGTCTTTTTAAGCAAATGTGTTGTTTTATAACTGGCAGCAGGAATGAATAACTTAAACTTTATTTTAGGAATATTAGATGTTTTTATTTGTTTTTTTTTTTTTTTTTTACAAAAATGCCATTGTGGTACATGTCTACACTATTGGAGACATTTTCTGACTGACCGAACACACATTCATGTGTGTGGTATATAATGACAGATACAATGCGTACATTATGTTGAAACTAATCTACAAGCTAGCTGGAGTAGCTGTTTTCTTTCTGACCAAAAAGTGAAAATAGAAAAGTTCTGTTTTCTAGCATCAGCTGTTCTCTTGCCTCCCCACCATAAAAATCTTAAACCTCTGGCCTTTCTCTGCTGCAGACCGCCCAGGCGTCCAGGACCATGCACGGATCGAAGCGCTTCAGGACCGGCTGTCTGAGATCCTGCAGGCCTACATCAGGCTTCACCACCCTAGCGGGCAGCTGCTGTATGCCAAGATGATCCAGAAGCTGGCTGACTTGCGGAGCCTCAACGAGGAGCACTCCAAACAGTACCGCTCCCTGTCCTTCCGGCCGGAGCACAGCATGCAGCTGACTCCGCTGGTGTTAGAAGTGTTCGGCAGTGAAGTTTCCTAGATGCCTAAAGTTCTGGTGTAGAGCAGGAAGATGGTATGAGATCCCACTGGGTAAAATGGAGGGAGAGAGCTGAGAATGCGCTGGATGGACTAAAAGCGGGAGTGGTGTATGAAGCAAGCAGAACAGAGAAAGTGTGTGTGTGCGTGCGTGCGTGCTAGTGTGTGTGTGTGTTCATGTATGTGATGTCTAAAGAAATCTTGCTTGGTTCGAAGACCAAGAATGTTTGGAGAGCAAACAGATGTTAACACAGTAAACAAGGGAATGTCATATAGTACAAATTAAGCTATCCATGGGACATCTGCCTTTATATATATATATATATATATATATATATATATATATATGCAGATAGATATATACAGTGTTTTTGTGTGTATTTAATTCAACCAACAGCTGCTTTAAATGCCTGGACATACTGTGTGTGCACGTCGTGCACACACCAACACAACAAGCATCCTCAGTCTTTCATTTAGCCATTCTGTTGAACTACCTCTTGGTTTTTATTGGGTTTGTTTTATATTTACATCAGCGATGTGAAACGGTAACTTTTACACAGAACAATTTAAATTCAACACATCTGACTTCAACAGTGCAACAGCAGTGCCTGCACAACACTTTGAATTTTTGATCATTCAGAAATCGAGTCTCTCTCAGCTTATTTTTGATTAGATTTTTTTTATTTTTTTTTCGGGTTTTGTATCTGCTTCTTTCTGGGACAGCGTATGTAAATGACTATGTATAATTCAAACACATGCCTTTCACCTGTCACCAAAAGCATGGTCAACTAATCGTTAAAGGCTTCCAGCACCTAAAGTAATCTTGCTGCTCCATGGCTTGCTGCAGCCACTCTGCAAGTTGTCTGACTCGTCCTGCAGTGTATGAAGGAAAATGTCGTTTTTTTTTTAATATATTTTTACTGCAGAATACAGAGCATAGTATGTAATTTAGTGAGGTTTTGATTGAACTTTATAACTTTAAATAGGTTGCCTGGGTTTGAGATGAGAATTAGCCACTAAATGTATTATCTACCTGCTAATTATCAAACCAAGCCCACATTTTGTCTCGCAACTCTCTTGAACTCTGCCCATGTTTATTATTCATGGCTATTATGTGTATTCTAAGCACTGTTTGAGTCAACCCTATGTAATGAGATCCAGTATCTTTATTATCCCAGATCTTTAAAGGGCTAAGATGCCAAATCTAACTGGAATGGTGATTGGAGGCCAAAGCGAGAGGCCCACTGTCTTGTTTTTATATAGCTGCAAACCACACCTGGACTTGGCATAGATATTGATATAATTGCAATAGAAAAAATTTTTTTTCTTCTCTTTTCCGTGTACGTTTTTATTTTATTTTTTTAAATGTCGATTCACCTTAATAAACAATTCCATGAATTGTTCCTCCTCAGTAAACCGTGAGCTCAGTGGGCGGAAAGCTTGGGAAGCTGCTTCAGACCTCCACAGATATTTCACCCCTTTCGTTTCTGACTGGGAAGTGGATTTTCTAGAATGTCTGAGGGCCTCTTGTTGTGGTGCTGGTGGTGCTGTGCACTTCCACGCCCTGGCCCTCCCGTTTGATGATGTATGCTGCGCAGCCCTCCAGTGGCTGCATTTTGTAAATACCAGGTATATACTTATATAAATATGTCTACCGCTGTACATAGGGCTTCAGAGATCCTTTAGGCTTCTTTTCCCCAGAAAGATATATGCAAATACAACAGACCCTTTTGTGTTTTGACTTATTAACACTTTCTGAAACACCCACTCTTTTTTTTACTTTTTGGTAGGATAGGTTTAAGAAATGGAATAAAATTGAGTTTCGTATATGTTTGAGAAAATGAATTGTTTGTTTAGACGTAGCATAATGTTAATTTCCAAAGTTCATTTTCTGAAAGAGGACAAGCTGTTCTCAGTTAAAAGCCATATAAATTGCCAAGCTAGTTCTAGACATACTACATTATAATAACTCAAAATGAACCTTGGGAGTTTTCATTTACATTCTAAACTAGAATGGTGTTTGTGTATGGCATTAGGAGCCCGAGCTTGTATATCACAGGGGCTCGCCTCCTCTCTGCTGTCAGTTGTTCTTCGGCTTGTGCTTCATCAGACAGCTTCTAATGCCATATAAACCAAGCTGCTAAAAACACTCGATGTGCTTAGGTTTTAAGGCAATGTTACGTGGCTGCGTGCGGGATTCAGGTCAAGCTATACAAGGTGACATGTTTGTTGTATTGAAACTGCTCCACAAAGAAATGCTTTGCGTCACCAGTTCTAACGGTTCCTGTGACTGGCTGCGTCCCCCGGCATCGCTTCCTCGGTTTTAATAACCAAATATGACCAATGAGAGGAAGACGAGAACAAAGTTGTCTTCACATGAAAAGTGAAATCTGTTCAACCATTTGGGGATTATTATTATTATTATTATATTTGTTTTTACCTGCTGTAGATAAAGACCGCTCTCTGTCACTGTGACTTTGTTCTGACTCTTCACGGTCACTGTGACACTCTGCAAGCTGACAGTCAGGGCTCCGTGCTCAGATAATCCTCATAGCACAAAAAAAGTAAACCCTTTTTTATATTCCAATGATAAGAAAATGATTGATTTGATTTTAATTCGAGGGTTTGTAAGGTAATTTCACTCGTCCCACAAATGACCCTGCTGTGATTAGAAAGTTTTGGAGCCGAGTGAGTACCACTCGTTTTGTATAGTATGTCTGTTTGATGAGAGGTAAGATGTGCTTGGTTACTGAACCCTGACTTTTGAAGTTGATCTTTGTTTTCTGAATGCATACTTGTGTATGTAGATATGAGTTTGATTTGTGCTGTTTCCTCCTGAGGTGCAGTGTTGATTTTCTGTACTTGTGATACAGTGGGAGTTTTGGTGAATATGTAAGTGCCACGGGGAGAGTTCCCTCCACACGAGAACAGGGTAACAGAGGAGTTGCGTTTGGGGGATTTGATAACCAAACAGGAAAGCTCTCGGATGTATTATTGCCACTGACTGAACACCGATTAAGATTGTCTAATTGGATATTATGTGTTATTTGTTCTTTATTTTTCTATGTTTGAAAGCCTTCTTTCGTATTCTCCTTTTTATGTCCACCACAAAGTCATGCAATTACAGCAAATGTGAATATGGTGCATCGTCAGAGGTTCCTGTTTGGTTCTGAACATGCTAGGCTGCTCCGAGTCCTGAGTGGATTCGGTAACTCAGAAACGACGCCTGTAGTATCCAGCTCATGGTACACTATCACCAGCAAACTTTACAGTCGCTCATGGTCTTCGGACATTTTAAAGTTTTTATTTTTATTTTTTAAATAATGATTGCCATTACAAATACTGTCTGGTAAAATGAGATATTAATCAAAGTAAACAGTTGTCCATCTTCCATGCAAAAGATTAAAAGTGTTGACTTTTTAATTCTTATTTGCTCTTCCCTTCAGTACAGGCGTTAGAATCAACTGTAGTTCTTACAAATAAAGAGTGTTCACAATGGATGTATACCATGATCTACCTAAAAGAAACCTACCTCTTTTTAGCTCATATTTTGCTTTAGCATTAAGAATTTGCTTCTGTTTTTACCTTTACCTTTTACCTGTTTTTTTTTTTTATATTTGTATTCGTGTTGGTATTTATTGCTGTCTAATGAGTCATACTTCAATGATTACCTCAGAGATTTCTCAGATTTGGGAGAGTCCAGCTAATGAAGTCATTCATAGTTTGTTTTTGGTTGTTTTTTTTTTTATAAAGTTTGTTTCCTAGAGTTGACTAGCAATGCCTTTTCTCTCTCTTTTCCCCTCAACGCACAAAGTATCAGGAGTGTGTTTGATTCAGTGCCTGCAGTTTGACCATCTGGGCTCTGGCTAGCATGAGGCTGCATTTACTCAACAAGTGGCAGACTTCTGCATCTTTAATCTTCCACATTTATGTAGTTTTCATTGATAACAGGTAATCTTGCTGCTACGTTGCTGATATCTGCAGTGTCTTGTCATTTTGTTTTCAAGAGCAAACTAAAGAAAGTAAATGCAGCTTTAAAGAAACAACCTGAACGACTTTGCAACAGAAGAGGAGAGACATTTCTGTGCTCCACTTGATGCTATTAGCATATCCTGTGGCCTCACATCTGTATATCTTATCTAAAGTTCATTTTTTGTTTCAATCATTTTATTTTTAATCTCTCTTCCCTCTGTTGTAAAGTCTCTTCCTGCACCTTCGAGCGTCCTCGCTGATGTTTGCTCAAACGAGGGGACTTGGAAGGGCTGAAGTCCTCAGTATCCATGCAATGCTGCTGCTTTTGAGCTAGTTGAGCACGATTTTATTTTTATGTGTAAAATCATGCTCAATCATGCACTTCTTGGTTTTAAAAAAAGAAAATATGTTTCACTCAAAATCCTTGTATCGTATTAACTCCTGTCTTCGGTAAAATCCCAACCAAGCTTTCTGTCTGCATGTCGGAGTGTTTCAGGTGAACATTGGATGAGTGATTTTTACTCGATTAGGTGAATTCTGAGGAACACCTGAGCCTTTAACACAGGGGAGGATGTTAACAGAGCTGGCTTCAAGTGTTCCTCCAGTAAATCTGAATGGAAACGCTGCAAAAGTGCGTGATTGGCTTAGTGTTCGAACAAAATTCTGTTTGGCCTTAAATTTGTTCTCCTCCCTGAAACTCAAATGCTTGCATCAAAAATACCTGAACTAACCAAAGCACTTCTTCTGGTGTTTGGACATGTAGACGATGAAGCTGCTCGCCATGAACTGCCTGTGTTGGTCAGCATGAAACGGCTTCAGATATCAAGACAGTTAGGTTTCCTAAATTCTAATGTAACTGCAATTTATATCTTTTTTTTTTTTCTTTTATAAATTGGTTTTGATGTAATGCTCTTTTTGTCTGTTTTGCAATTCAAGAATAAACTGTTGTACATAATACTGAATCTCTGCAGATGTTTTAATGCTCTTTCCTGTTTTTAAATAAAACTCAGACTTACCTGAACTTTTTTTTTTATTCAGCTTTTTATTTATCCAGGTTAGTTTCATTGAGTCATGAGGCTCTACAAGAGAGACCTGTTGTAGACAACATATAAAGTACAGTAAAATGCAGTTAAAATAAAAAGTGTTATAAAACTAAAAAAAATCAAGATGCCATCTAAAACAATGTAAAATACTAAAAACAAGAACATGTTTGCTTTGATGTTTTTATTGATCTTATCAAATGTTTAAAGTCCCCTAATGAAATTAAGGTGGACAACTTCAGTTCCTGTTTCAAGGTGTTGCAGGAGCAGA